TCCAGAGGAAAATGTGTGTTTTTTATTCTAACTCACATATTTGGTTTCCCGTCCCAGGGATTTTGGAAGTGTTGAGTTGTTCTGCAGAAAGAAGGGGGGGGAAAGAAAGATGTGAAATTAAACAACTGAGTTAGACAAAACTCTTTTGGTGGTAAAAATGTAAAAAAATGGCTGAAAGGTAGACAGTGAAAAGAAAACCTTTTGGTGAACTCACAGAATAAATCTGAACTTTGGAGATGAAAGGGTTAGGGTTAGGTTTTTTATTTTATCATGGGTCAGTGTTTTATTTGTTTTCTCTTAAGCTCAAGTTTTTTTCTGTAACAGAGCTACTGTTTATTTTTTCTTGTGTGTGGCTGATAATTTAAATTTTTCATCACACTACTCCTCTACATCATGAATGACAGCGCACAAACACACATTTTTCTCTTGTCCTTTGATGAATAATGAACAGATGTCTTTTCATTTCTTGTGCTGGTGATTATACAGTCAGAATTCACTTTTATCCCACTTCAAGTCTGTGCTCCAGTAAAAAACATGGTACAGACTGTTTGTTTCCTTTCCTCGGTTTTACACTTTCTATTTCCTGTTTTATCTTTCTTTAATATTCTACTTATTCAATGTTATGTATCTCATCGTAGCTGTAGGCTTATGTCTTTAATTTTGACTTTAGTCATATTTACTTTTTCAATTGTCTTTAGAATTTTAACAATATAAAAGACTCCTATAAGAACCAGTTTAACATACTGGTTAATGCATAACAAACCACATAGATCATCTGCACTCCTGTATTTGTTTGTTTGTTTGTTTGTTTTCCATCTGAGGCAGCATTTTTGTCCCAATGCATTTCATTACGTTTACCATTTCAGCTGACATTATGTATTTGCCACCCACCATTACCTCTTAAAGCTATAGGGTTACTAATCCTGGAAAAGTTAGCAAGAGCCTGCTACACTTTGAAAATATGACACATCCCACTCCCTCCCATCGGCCCTCTTGTAAAAGCCGTGCTGCCAAAACACTAACGCACACTGCCCGACAACTGCTAGAGGACGACTTTTCCGTAACTTGTTGCTAACTTCAGGCTATCATCCCTGCTTCAGCGGCGTATGCTTCTCCGATGTGCACTGTGATCATGGGCAGGGTGCGCGCAGGCAGGCAGGTGGGATAAAAAGATAAAAACTGTTTCAAGAAACTTGTTTAATTAATTTATGTCCTGGACCCGTCCTGCAGTAACTTTGGTGTTTTTCTTGTTAAAGGATTTGTTCCCTAGTTTCACGCAGACGTGAGAGAGGTAGCAATTTTCTCATCTAACACCAGCTGAATAATAGTTGTTACCAAAATGTCAACCCAGAATTTTAAGTGGGAAAATCAAAAGTTGCTGGCTACACTTGTTTCATGAAGATGAAGAAACAAACTTTACCTGTAGACCAACATTGGGAGTGGATGACCTGGAGGACTGCAGTAGCCAGTGGGGGGGGGGAGTTGGAAAAAAATAAGTCTGTTAATTAACATTTAAACCAATGCGTGTTCAAAATGTATCATTGAACAAACTCACTGCTGGAGTGGAGTTTGCCAAAACCTCATCAATAACTGCATAAAGTTCCTCTGACTGTTGGCGGAGCTGAGCTGGTGAGCACATCTGTAGAGTAGCACAAAGTCACTGATGTTAACTGGGATTGTGTGACTTCTGTCGTGAACACCAGCAGTGAAGTGTGTGTGTTTGTATATACCTCAGCGTGAGTGTCTGCAACACCTCTGTCCAATACAACACCTCTATCCAGTGAGTCACAGGGACTCTCCTCTCTCTCTATCTGCTCGTCGATTGCCTGTGAATACAAAGCACAATGAGCGCATTGATCTCCCCTCCACACCGCTGCTGCTTTCTTTTGATTAAATGCTGCTCCTAGAGAACATTGCATTCATCCCCTCTTGTATTCTTCAGGGACGGTGCTCCCCTCTCCACGGCTCTAAATGAAACATCCTGCTGTGTGAATAACACGACTGTTGGCTCAGGTTGCCATGATTTCATGTCACTTTGAGCCTCATTTGACTTTCAATCAGGTTTTTAAAAATGTTTCTTTTAGTTTTATTATCTACAGCCTGCAAATCCTTGTGAAATTGGTTTCCTGTCATTTTCTAATTTTGCCTGACACATTTTTACATTAACAGATAAAAATGTAATTCTATGTAAAGCCCTGTGATTGGAGACCTAAGAATAATCATTTTTTATGTAAAACCTCAATTCTCTTTTAAAATGTAAAAGTTTATTCTCATATTTTCCATTGCCCACATGCTGTAATGTTCCTACAACAACAGCATTTACTCTCGAACCTTATTCAAACCAGCTCATCACGGCTTCATACGGCCAGATATTTTACAAGATGAATTACAGTGTGGGATTAGAGTCGAATAAGTGAACTCACCTGCTGATCCAGCAGAAGGGTGTTTGTGGGAATTGCAGCGAGGGATTTGTAGCTTAACTTAATCTTGTTTATCTAGAGTTGATAGAGAGAGAAGAGCATGCAAGGAATAGATATTCAATATTTTAACACATACTGCTGCATGTCAGACACACTCTTCTCTCACTGCATCACTTTGTTGGACTGATCTTAATATAACTAAAAACTCCACTTGCAGTCAATGTTTCCCACAGGCAAGAAAACTAGACAACCCTGTCTGAAATCGATGTTCATTTCCCTGCTTGTACTACATACATTTAATTCCTAATCACTGATACTCAAAAATGTTGTGCTTCAAGCTGTATGTCTGGCCCAGAAACTAGAGCTGTTTAAAAGCTGCTGCACTGATTTCATGATGGCTTCCCTTTATATATAACGTCTGTGATGTGTCAGTCAGTAGATTAAAGACGTGTACAATAAGCTTGACATCTCTGCAATGCCAAGATCTGTAACATCATTAGATTATATTGCAAATAAGGACAGAACGAGAGAGGACAGCTTTTTATATCCATCTACCAAATCAGTTTTGAACCACACTGCGTGGGAGTCATGTCACAGAGAACATATTAAATAATATCCTCTGCATAAACAAGTCATGCACGTGGCAATAGAGTGACTACCTTTCTTTTTTTACCCTCCCTGTCACTGCAGTCTGATATTCCACTACCCGGCCTCGGGGAGGGTGTGGTGGAGCGTGGGGAAAGAGAAGGGGACGGGGTGAGGTCTCTGATTAGTGGAGCAGGAGAAGGTGTGGGCGTAGGGGAGCCGGCGGGCGAAGGCCATCCAAGAAAACTGATGGGTGTGTAGCAGGAAGGGGACAGGCACTCAGCTTTGTGGAAAGCCTGCAATGGCGCTGTGGTAGCTTTGGAAGCAGGGCAGCTCCTCTCTGACTCACACCTTCCTCTGGTGTTTTGTAGACGAGGGAGTGGCGATGCTGAAGCTGTGAGAGTGTGTGGGTGTGATGGAGGAGGCTGAAGCTGAGGAGGGCAGACAGGTGGAGAACTCAGTTTTTGAGAAAGCAAATGAAGCCTTGAGAGAGATGAATTTGACGGCTGATTCCATTTCTGGGGCGCAGAGTTCTCCTGCTCATTAAGAAGTTTTGGGGACAGGGGGATGAGATTTTTAAGGTTATGATCTTCATGGCCCTTGAGGGGCATATGAGTGTTGTGGGCATTCAGCTCAGGTGACTGAGAGACAGAGATTTGTGTATGTTGCAGTTTTTCAAATGTTTCGTCGTGCTCTGCTTGAGAAAGAGATTTAAAGTTTGAGCAAAACAGAGGCAGCGGAGCTCGGGATAGTTTCTTCACTGGTGGGGGTGAAATAACCTGCTCCCATCTAGGCACTCTGCTCGAGCGAATGTGCTCTGAGCCTTTTTTTATTTGAGTTTGAGGACTTGTTCTGCTGTTGAGCTGCTCCTTTGACTGCACAGGTAAAGGAGCAGCGACGCATCTTTTTGGCTCAGGATCGAGTGTCTGACTATCTATAGACATGGATGAGGAGAAGCAAGAGGAAAACTCCAGGGGAATGGAGGCCACGCTGGAGGCTGCTGAGCAGGCGTTACAGAAGGAGAGGGTCACAGGGTTAACAGGCCAGCAGGGGGTGTAAGGCCTCTGAAGAGCAGCGGACAGAACAGGAAGACGGCCTTTTCTCAGGATGGCAGTGAGGAGGGAGAGTCTGGTAAGAGGAGGCCGGTGCCGAGGAGGAGGGGACTGGGGACAGATGGAGGAGAACAGGCTCTCACAGGATGAGAAACAGGTTTGAGGGATGTGAACCAGACTAGAGCCGGGAGCAAGAAAGTGCCTCTTGATCTGGGTGACAGAGGGCGTGAACATGCCGGAGCGGACAGACGAGCAGGGGGACACAGTGTGGCTGAAAGAGACAGGAGAGTTTACAGAAGAGGGCTGCGTGAAAGACCAGCATCTGTCTTTGTCCGAGATGTCTGAGAGTAGGGACTCTCTGGACGAAGCCAGGGTGGGAAACAGGTCTGCGGAGCATGTGGGGCTCGTCCTGTCCTCTGACACTCTATTTGCAAAGCAACCCGAGCTAACCTCAGCACGTCCAGAAGTATCGTGACACTGCCGCTGGGAAACGGCCCTGTGTTTGTCAGCAGCTGTTTCCATAGACGCTATCCCGGCAGCGGTGATGTTGAGTGTATTTTCAGGCTGGCTGACTGAGGGAGAGGCTTTACTGTGAGACAGGCTCATGTGATCCGCTGACGGCCTCAACTGAAAAAAAAAAGAAAGAAAGTAGGAGTCTTTGTGCCATAGCTGGTAAATTACAACTGAAGCTACTATTACTGAAAAAGAGACTTTCACTTTCTTAAAGGTCAGAGTGACAATGTTTTGTCAGTTGTGTCTGATTTATGCTGAGAGAAAGAATGTTCTGATCTGACATTTTACCTAAATAGAATTGAATCCCATCATCAAGAAGACCTCACAAAACATGTTGGGTTATTTGCATTTTGATTTATTATTAGATTTCCAATGAAAATGTCTTGGCTTCGTTATATTTTAGATTAAAGTTCCAGGTGTACAGTTGTCTACACACACATATACACATTTTTATTATAACATGTCAGTGATAAAGCTTTTTGTTATAGTGTCACTGAGAATGCTCTGATTGTACTTACTCTAAGCTCTGTCTCAGCTGGGATTGTGCTTCCTTCTCCTCCCGCTATGGCGTCCTTGATAAAGACAAACTCCGCATTGAAAATATCTCCTTTCGACATGGTCTCTCCGCTCGTCTTCTCATGGGACTCAGCAGCGTTCTGACGAGAGAAAAAGTAATGAATGTTTTGAAGGAACTGAGAAGTGAAACTTGAGAAAACCTGAGGTGAACCTCAGCAGTGAGCCTCCCTGAGCTCAGTGGTGGGCTCAGTTTCAGCACGCCACATGTCCCCACACACATAATTCACATGGACACGCACATGTCCTGCTAACATTGGTGTTGTGCATGCCTCATGTGCAGAGCTGGACGACTGAGGCGGGGTTTGTGTTTGAGGCTTGTAAATAAGCAAGATGATATCTCCACAGTTTAGTCCAAACTGGCAGCCACGGTCTGTGCTGCATTTATCTATTTGTGTTTTTTTTATTTATGTATTTATACCACTGTTTGCGACAGTGTCTTTTTCATGCTGCCAGAGAAAGCTGCCAATATATTTAAATCCTACGTACAAGAGTCATATTTTGCTCGACTATTCATGGCATCCACCTTAAGTTAAGTTTAGACATAAATTGCTTGGGGTAAAGTTTGGATAAGTCAGTGATAGTGCCTTGGCGTCCTCTGTAAAAGGTTTCTATTTGCTGCTTAGAGCCTTTAATAACACCAATGCTGCCAACTTTGCCTCTCAACACAACAGTCATTATTTGCATGGCTGCAAAAGTTTGATGGTTAGGAAACCTTATTTTAAGACTTGAAACACAATCACTATTCTGTGACATATACAGCTGTAGGCTGCTGAAAATTGTCTTCTCCCAACAGGGGCTCTCCCAGCACAGCTGAGCAATATTTGCAGATATAAATTTAAGCCAATTTAGAAGTTCCTGGTCCCATATCTATTAACTGCATCAAACGCAGTTTGAAGCATTTTAATGAGTGAAACTAAAGGATTTAAAGTTTAAAAGCTTGACTCAGAGAGCTGCTACAGCCAAGACAACCTCCAGAGACATACACATGTACTGTATAATGTCTTCTCACTGTCCCTTGTGTGTAAACACATTGAAAAGCTCTCTTCTGAACAGCTTTGTTTTTCACACAGTATGAATATAAAGTAATCTCCAAAGCACTTAATCACAATTGCGTACCCCAGCTGTACTTGAAAGATTCACACCACATTGTATATATTACCCTGCAGTAATGACGATGCAGACAAATCATCCCCAGAAACATGAAACAAAATTATTACCTTCACTAAGGAGGTCTCGCCCCTTGTTTGTTTTTTTTAGCAGGATAACACAAAATTTACTGAATAGATTTCCACGAAATTTGTTGAAAAGGAATTTTATTCACTTTCATTAACATTGGGAGATTTTTTTTTACATTTTCACTGAAATACCAGAGAATACTTTATGGACCTTTATTCAAAAATTTAAAAATCAGGCATATTTATGGAACTGATTTCTGTGCAACTTCAATTTAAGAAAGCGTTTGTGGGGACTGAGGGCCATTCTAGTTTTAAAAGGTTTGGTTGGATAAAACTAAAATTAAAAATGGAAATGTATACTATTGTTCCAAAATATGAGCATTAAATGTGATATGACATTATTCAAATGATTGTGCTTTATTATACTATATGCATGGGCTCAAATTAAAGGAATATTGTTATCGGGGATAAGATGTGATATTTATCTGGAGCTAAAACGGGTAAGTGTTAATGACATCCATCATATCTGTCATGAACCCCTTGATTTGTGGTAATTAGGAGCATATAAATACACATGAGAGTGTCTTATAATGACAGCTTTGTTGCTTTAAAATAAAAACAAATGTTTTACAGCATTTATAATGAATATCGATCGCACTGTCCAGGAGGTCGTCCTGGAAAACATCAGCTGCTGTTATGGAGATTTTTGTGGTCTGTGTTATTCTCCTTCATGTAGAATGTTTGTCTTATTATAAGGCTTTTTTGCCCAGGCCGACACGATTCACAGTTGAAGGAATATTTGTGTTTTAATGCAGAGTTCCTGTTTCTCTCTTTCTTGCATTATCCATAAGGCTTAAAGGTACAGTGTGTAGTATTTTGTGATGTCTAGTGTTGAAATTGCATGTTGCCGCTGAACACCCCTCACCTCACCCTCCCCTTCCAAAAGTGAAAAAGAACCAGAAACTCCACATATTTAATGAGATGTAGATGTCACCCTGTATAACATTTTCTTCTCAGCTATTTAATTTCCATATCATGCACACCCAGTTCTCAGCCCCAATAAGTCAAACACCAAAAGGTACAGTTGCAGAGTTCCATTACAAAATAAATTATACTTTGCTTTATACAAACTATTCTGCCTTTCTCCCAAACTTGGCAAATAAAATAAT